ATTTTTTCCCTCGTCTTCCACATCTTCATTCCTTAATTACATAATTGTGATTATGTAAATTCAATTTTTCAAATTAGAAAAACAATTATGATTACTAAAAGTTAATAAGACATATGTTTATCAACTATCATATCTTGGTCAAATATTAGAAACTTTTTCTTTATTTAATACAGATAATTCGTATTTACGTTATAAAATTAGAAGGCTGTTTAATAAATGTTCAGATTTTTTTTGAATTTTATATATGCAATATTGATGTCATATGAAAGACCGTAAAAAATTATGAAATTGGATATGATTTTTTAAAAATTGGATTAAAAATGAAAAAGTTATAACACTTTTTCATATAAGAGCTATTTGTTTTCTTATATATAAAAGGAAGAAATGCAATTCGTGGGCCCAATGTATAAAAACCTCTTTTTTCTTTAAAATGTTATAACTTCTCTTTTTTACTTCAATTTTTACAAAAAAAAAATCAAATTTTATAATTTTTCAAGATCTTTCATTTGACATCAATATTGCATATATAAAACTTTAAAAAAAGATTGAAGGTTAATTAAGCAACGTTTCTATTTCCAATCTCGATATGGATTATTCAGCATTAAATAAATACTTTCTCCGTTCCACTACAATTGTCTCACTTTTCTTATTTCCCTCTATCCCACTAAATTTGTTTCATACTATATTTGGTAATATTTGGATGACTCTAATCCATTCTTACTTTAATCTCACTATCAACCACATACTTTCTCCGACTCTCACTTTGATAAAACTCTAAACACAACTATAGTTACTAAAAAACTAATAAGTCATATTTTTATCAATTAAGCTTGTTTTGATCATATATTATGAATTATTTGTTTACAAAACATATATTAAAATATATCGTACTTTCTTTATTATCTTTCATATAACACTGATATTTTATATATAAATAAATAAAATTAATACTTTAAAAAATATATGTTCTTTAAAGTGAAACTCCGTGTAATTTTTTTTATTTATACTCCGATTGTTACAAAACGTATATCACAATTCACGATTAATAAATTTGTATTATCATTCATATGAAATTATATTTTAAAATATATTGTATTAATTAATAAAATAAAGCAACAGTTATATGAAACAGTATCTAAATGTGTACATTTTTGTAGTCAATTCATCCAGAAAAGTTTTTATGTGTACATTTTTATAGTCACTTTGATATAATACTAAACACATTTATAGTGTCTAAAAATTAATAAGTTTATATTTTTATCAATTAGACTTAATTTGATCATAATTATGAAGTAATAACAATCGGAGTACAGGGGTAAGACTACGTACATCCGACCCCCCCTTACCCAACCGTAGGTGGGAGCCTTTGCAGCACTGGGGTAAATGAAAATGAAAGACTTAATTTGATCATATATTATGAAGTACTACTTCCGTCCCTTAAAATTTTGCCAAATTTGACCGGCACGGAGAATAATAAAGTGAAAATCTTTGTGGTTGAGGTTTGTGCAAAGAAGAGAGAAACAACAGTAACCACACAATAATTGATTAAAAGGGAAAGCGACAGAGTTTTGGGACGTCCCAAAAAGAAAAGATGATAAAGTTTTAAGGGACGAGAGGAGTATTTATTCATTTAATACAGAATAATTTGTATTGAGGTTTGAATATTGAAAGGTTGATTAACAAATCTTCAAATGTTTTTTTTAATTTTATATATGCAATATTAGTGTCAAATGAAAGATCGTAAAAAATTATGAATTTTGATATATCTTTTATGAAAATCGAAGAAAAAATGAAAAAGTTATAGCAATTTGAAGAAAATGGTATTTTTTTTTTGTATAATGAGACCCATACGAATAGATGCCACATTGCCATGTTTCTAATAATAAAGGAGTACCGATGCTTAAGGTTCTTTGGTTTGGCTTAGTGTTCCGTTTTAATCCTTCAATTTGCCACATGGCATTTGTATAACAAATGAGTGAATTATGGAAAGAATGATATATGATCTTTTGAAGGACAAAAATGTATTTTAATGAGATATTTCTTTTCTTATATATAAATGGAATAGAATAGATATCGATAAGAAGAATTAGAAAACGATAATTAGCATTATAAAGTTGCATGAAATTGTGAAATCCCATATATGACACCTAACTGCAGGCTTTCCCGACCATATATTTCAGACTAAACCATACAGGCTATGCAACCCCCATTTGAGGCCTGTCTATTTACTTTCCTAAAAAGCTTCTTAATTTGTTGTAGGCTTTGAGCCAACATACCCAACATCAAACTAAATTACTAGTTTTTTAAATAATCAAATTACTAGTTTAGACGTAAGTATCGATCGTTTTAGGCTTTGAGCCAAATTATTGGTCTCCATGTACTGTACACCGCACACTTGTCAATGTTAAACAAAGCGTCTATTTAATTAATGTGAACATAAATTGAAAATAAATTTGTTTTAAGTAATGATAAAATTATTTTAATTTTACCTAACAGTCAATATACGTAGTAATTAATATTGTGAACGTATATTTGAAATAATGATAGAAAAAATGGATATGAATAATCCCAATTATTAGTGATTTGCTAGAAATAATCCCAAGTATAATTGTTTTCAAAATAATCTCAACTATTCAAAAAATATCTCAAAATACTACAGCGACTAATAATAACCCGTAAATTGTTTATAATATTTACAAGCCGATGGAGCGGAACATTGTGAGAAGTTTTTTCAATAGTTGGGATTATTTTGAGATAATTGATATTTTGGATTATTTTAAACAGATCACCAATAGTTGGGTTTGGGTTTATTCTTGTCGATTTTTCTCTTGATGATATCTTTGAACATTTATTTACTAGACATTCGTGTCGTTATGTTTGATATATGCATCCGTTTGAATTCATTTGCATTTCAAATCAACTCAATTAGTTACACGAATTATTGAAAATTTACACACAAAAATAATACTCCGTCTCCGATCCGTATATTTACGTGCATGTATAGCTTACCCAAACAACAACCACACTTTAATTTGCACGAACAACATATACTTCACCTTTTTGTCGTTGAGTAATATACTGGTTATAAGTAATTCATATACGAGTATGTTTTTATTTAATTGCAATAGATTCACTTCCTTTTCATCATCACATAATGAGTTTGATTGTATTGTTCAAATATTTAATTAGCTGAATTGGCTGAATATATTAGAGCCCGTTTGGTAACACTAAAATTGGCTGAATTGGCTGATTCTGCTGATTCATGAAAAAATTATATTTAAAATATTTGTTATTAATAAATTAAATAAAAATTATATGAAAAAATAGCTAAAATGATTCTCTACAGTAACTACAGCCAATACAGCCAGAAAAGTAACTTCAACCTTACTTTTTCTGCTTATTACAAACTTCAGCGTGCGAAATCAAAAGTTACGTGTTTGGTGAAAAAGCTGGCTGATAAGCCTGATAAGCCGAAAAAAGGGTTACCAAACGGGCTCTTAATCAGGGAAAAGTACACAAAAATTACTTGTGGTTTGGCCCATTTTCAAAAAGGGTATAAAGTTCATTTTTTTAACAAAGTGGGGCATGTGCATTCACTTTGAGGTTTTCCGTCTCAACGCCGTAATAAAAAGAAGTCGACGTGGATGAATAAATTAAAAAAGTGACACATCACCTTCTTTCTGACGAAGTTTAGACAAAAACTCTCAAAGTAAAAGCACGTGCCTTACTTTGTGAAAAATGAGTATCATGCCCCTATTTGAAAACAGCCTAAACCACAAATACCTTTACTGATTCCCGATTTTTTTTTTTGCAAAAAAATCCCTAAAAATTGTTAAAATTCATATTTTGAAAATTGACATTGAGATGATAAGTTGAGTAGTATTTTGTCATATTTTATTTGTAGATCTAAAAATAAAATTGGTGAAAATAAAATACATTAAGAAAGTAAAATTCAAAGGTTGTGACTATTAAGGGACTAACAGTCTAACATACGGAGCACTCCGTATAAAATTAGTATAGTAATGGGTCTTGGTTTCAACAAAAAAACAATTACGCCCCTTTAGAGAAATTTAATTGTGATGTTATATACTCCATATTTTATCTTTTTATAATAATCTTATATAGGGGCTGCATCTGGTATAAATTGTGCCCATTTGTGTAAACGTTTATACGACGCATCTTTATATTATTTGTATTGCATATTGAAATTCAATTGCATACGTAGTATTATATATATGTGGTGAAATAGCAATTACTCCCTCCGTCCCATAAAATTCTTCTCACTTTCCATTTTGGGCCATCCCAAAAAAATCTTCCCACTTATCATTTTTGGACAATTTGTTTGGTTTCCATTCATTTCACCTTTTTCTTACACAACTATAATCATACATTTCCACTTTCTTAACCTCCGTGTCAAGTCAAAGTGAGAAGAATTTTATGGGACGGAGGTAGTACATATTAACGTTCAAACAATTGCATCCGAGAAAAGTTTGATTTTTATTACTAAAATGCCACTATGTGATTCCAGCTTTTAAATCAATTCAACAAATAACAAAGATAAATTTGTAGTTTAATTAGAAATTGCTCTAAATAGGAGTAAAAACGTTTTGAAATTCCAAAATAGGAGTATCATGTTTTTTATTCCTTGAATAGGAGTAATCTGCCAAGTTTGGAAAAAAATGTCATGTTTTAAAACCTAGTAATACCAAACTTGGCAGAAATTTACTCTTATTCAAGGAATAAAGAATATGATACTCATATTTTGGAATTTCAAAACTTTTTTACTCTTATTTAAGGAATTCTCTCCAGTTTACTTTGTAAATTAGGATGAGTTCGTAACTAATTCGGTAGCTCTTATAGATGAATTTCTCTCTTTTATATATATATATATATATATATATATATATATATATATATATATATATATATATATATATATATATATATATATATATATATATATATATATATATATATATATGCATCAATGCATGAGTCTTTCATACAGAAAGCTAAGCTATACTAAGGTATAATAATAAAATAATAATAATAATAAACAAACAAACATAGTACTTAATTAGTAGCATTAATGATCATGAAGACCGTCATGAATCTATGGGTCAACTTTACGCTTTCATTCTCCGTCGTATCTGCATGCATATGGAACTGTTCCGCCGCCGGCGACCGTTTTGGCGATTTTCGGAAATGCCTAATCAGAACAAACAATTCATTCGCGAGTGGAGTCTACGCCCCGACCAATTCATCGTTCTCTTCCATTCTGCAGTTCCCGATCGGGAACGTGCGGTTCAAGGACACAAACATGCCGAAACCCGGCATCATCGTCACGCCGTCGGGAGCGGCGGAGATTCAGGCGGTCGTCGTCTGTGCGAGGAAAGTCAACTTGCACCTCCGTGTCCGGAGCGGCGGCCACGATTACGAAGGGCTATCTTATACGTCGGGGTTCTATGATACTCCGTTTGTTCTGGTCGATGTCTCTCGCATGAGGAAAGTTTCGGTTGATGTTCAAGAAAAGACGGCGTGGGTTGAATCAGGTAGTCCCTGCCATTTTATTTCTCTGTTTTTTCTAAATACGTACAAGTACTATACACCATCACTTTATCATCACATTTGTGGTAAAAAAAAAGAAAAAATTGACCAAAATGGGACTAAAACTTAGATTAAACTCCATAATAGGACTTTAAGTTTTTTATTCCCTAAATAGGACTCCACATTACAATTTTGCCCTCCTGCTATTAAAACCCCAATCTCTCGCCCCCTTCTGCAATTCATCCCTGGCCACGCACATCCGCAGCACATCGATGGCCCCCTTCTGCAATCTACGATAGAATTTATCGTAGCAGCCGCTCCCCACATCCCTTGACAGCAGTTCCGCCATCCGCTATCGCCACGCACCGCAGCTCCAGCGTCGACCACAGGTATCCTCCTCCTCCTTTCTTTTTCTTCTTCTTCTTCTTCTTCTTCTTCTAATCCTCCTCAAATTGCTGGTTCTCTGTTCTCTTCTTCTGTGAATTTTTTGGATTTTTATTAATTTGGATTTTTTGGATTTGAATTTTATTTATTGAGTAAAATGCCACATGTATATTATGAGAATGTCAAAATTATTGGTTATTTGAAGAAAAAAATGTCATGTTTGTGACATTACATTTACAAAAATGACAATCTGAAAATGTCACTTTTATTACTCTGGAAATGTCATTTTCTTATTTGAAACTGTCACCTAAGCAAATGTAATGTCATAAAAAGTGACATTTTCTTCTTCCAAATATTTAAATGCCATAAAAGTGACAAAGGATCTGCCCTCCATGAGGAATGTCACTTAATTGACATTTCCAAATATTGTAATGACATAAAAGTGACATTTTGTAAAAAAACCAATATTTAGACATGCTCTTATTCAAAAAGTGACATTTTCTGGAATCATTAATCATAGAATTTTGAGATTAAAAGTAATCAAAATTGATAACAATAAGATATTCAAGTTTAGATATATCTTCATTTGAAACTTTAAAAAATTAAAATTTTATTTAAATATATGATTGATAAAAAAATTTAAAAAAAGCAGAAAACTAGGAAGAAGAAGAAGAAGAAAAGATTACCTACCTGGTCGCCGATGAGTGTAGGGCTACGGCAGAAGCGTTGCGGTGCGAGGCCACAATCGACGATGGATGAGTGCTGCTCTGTAGTTTCAATTTTGCGGTCCATGGGGTGAAGGATAGCAGGTTGTGCGTCGGTGGTGTGCGTCTCTTTTTTAAAAAGGGTAGTTTTGTCAGATTACCTCTTTTTAGTCCTATTTTTATCAAATAAAACATAGGAGTCCTATTTTTGCAATTACACAATGTTTGAGTCCTATTTAGGTAAATCTCTCAAAAAAACAAAGAAAAAAAATCTGTTTTTTCTAAATGCGTACATAGTACATAGTGGTCGATTTCTCTGTTTTTTCTATCACTTTATTTTTTTGTGGTGATTTGCGGTGATTCTATTTTTTGAAATCAAGTTTAATCTCTATTGAAACATATAACTTTTGATTTCGCGCACTGAATTGTGTAATATAATACGCAGTAATAAAAAATGATGAAATTTAAAAGAATAATCTCTATTTTTATGGATTCCATCATAATAATCTTTTCTTAGAATGTCCATAAGAATAATCCGTACTAGCAATAGTGTCCACAAGAATAAATTGAAGTGAATTCAAACTAATGTTCATTTAGTATTGTCAATCCCTGCCTCCACTTTCTCTTTCGTCAATTTTCATCTCGGTTAACACTTTTATGTTCCAACCTAGAGAAAACCATATATGGCAAAAATTGTGTTGAGATTAAATGAGTTTTAGTTTGAATTTTCTTTGAGAACAAGAATGGGGAAGAGAAAAGTGTGAATAATAGTTGAGAGTAATAAACGGGCATTAATTTGAATTCACTCTAATTTATTCTTATGAACACCATTGTTAGTTCAGATTATTATTGTAGAATCCCTAAAAGTAGGATTATTCTTATGAATTTCACCATAAAAAAAGTAAGGTTGGAATTACTTTTCAGATTGTATTGGCTGAAATTACTGTAGATGACAATTTTAACTATTTTTCATATCATTTTTTCTTTAATTTATTAATAAAATACTAGTATATTTTAATTATAATTTTTTATAATTCAGCACAATCAGCCAATACAGTCATTTTAGTCAGCACTTCATAAATTTAATCAGAATCAGCTGATTCAACCGATTTCAGTGTTATCAAACGGGCTCTATAGAGTTTAAATACATGAGTGAAAACCTAAAATTTAATTTATTAAAAAAAGTTGTATACTGATACGTAGCAATAGGATAAAATAAGTCATATTTTGATATTATATTTTCATATCTATTGATACTTTGTATACTTTCAAAATTCTTAATTATATGCGTAATATTTTCATCAAATTTTCATTCTTTAGTTAAATATATAAATTTTTGTCCCCCTCAACTTTTGATTTTCGCACACATGTTCTAGCTTATATTCACACACACGCACATAGATGAAAAATAGACAGAAATAATCTCAAGTATTAATGATATGTTTGAAATTATCCAAAATATAATTTTTCTCAAAAAAATCTCAACTATTGAAAAAAATTCAAAAAGTACCTTAAATGACTTATAATATTTATGAATCAATAGAGCTTTTTGAATTTTTTTTCAATAGCTAGGATTATTTTCAAATAACTAATATGTACGTTGAATTATTTCAAGCAGATCATTAATAGCTAATATTATTCTTGTCCATTTTTCCTATATAGCATATAGATTATATATTTATATTAGGTACCTACGTAAATAAAATAAATAAAACATTTTAAGCATTGTTTTCAAGAGTATTCTACTACTCTGGTCTTCTGTTTCGTAAATAACTTCTATTTTCACTTTACACGAGATTAAGAAAGTAGAAATTGTTCGGTCTAAGATTATGGAGAGGAGTTAGAAGTATTGTTAATCATAGTTTCTTTGCCATAAAAGAAAAACATAGGAAACATTAAAAAAGAAATTTATTTTAGGAATGAATGAGTATAATATTATTGAAATAGAAATTATGGACAAAGAGTTCACCAAAGTTAATAACTTTATGGCCAATACAATATATACGGAGTATAAAATTGAATATACCTATATTCACTAAAAATTACTAACATAATCACTTTATATAGGAAGGCACATTTCATGAAATACAACATCTTTTTAATTGTTTTAAAAAATGTTCTTTTAATATTAGGAACCACACTTGGGGAACTCTACTACCACGTAGGTAATGCAAGTCGCAACCTTGGATTTCCCGGCGGCGTCTGTCCGACGGTCGGAACAGGGGGACACATAAGCGGCGGCGGATATGGGGCGATGATGAGAAAATACGGCCTAGCGGCAGATAACGTCATCGACGCCATTCTAGTCAACGCGAACGGAACAATTCTTGACAGGGAACTAATGGGTGAAGATCTTTTTTGGGCAATCCGAGGAGGCGGAGGTAACACATTCGGAATCATCGTTTCTTGGAAAGTAAGGTTAGTTTACGTTCCAAACAATGTCACAGTCTTGAAAGTGAACAGAGATTTGGGTCAAAACGCAACAAAACTTGTTCACAAGTGGCAATACATAGCTCCCAGATTGCCTCCAGAGCTGTTCCTTAGAGTCAGTTTTTTGCAAAAAAACATAGGAAATGATAGCAGAAACAGAACGGTGGAAGCCCATTTTGTGTCCACTTTCTTGGGAGGGGTTAAGAGTTTGATTTCCATTATGGATAAGAATTTCCCAGAACTGGGAGTGAAGAAGGAAGACTGCAAGGAGATGAGATGGGTTGAATCTGTACTTTACTTTTATGATCTCCCAACTGAGACACCAGAGCTACTCCTCAATAGAGTCCACAATGAGACAACAAGCTACAAAGCAAAAGCAGATTATGTGCAGAAACCAATACCAGAGGAAGGCCTTAAAGGGCTATGGGAATTGCTCTTAGAAGATGAAGCCCAGAATCTGTCAATGGACTTGAATCCATATGGAGGAAGAATGGATGAAATTTCAGAATCTGCATTACCATTCCCACACAGAGTTGGGAATTTATACAACATCCAATACTTGGTGTATTGGTCTGATTCCAATCACAGCCGCTACATAGAATGGTCAAGGAGGGTTGAGACTTTTTTGACACCCTATGTTTCCAACTCCCCAAGAGTTGCTTATGTTAACTGTAGAGATCTTGATGTTGGGATGAACACTAATGGCAGAAACACAAGCTATGAAGAAGCTGTGATTTGGGGGGAAAAGTGTTTTAAAAACAATTTTGAGAAGTTGGTGCAAGTGAAGACTAAGGTTGATCCTACCAATTTTTTCAGGAATGAACAGAGCGTACCTCCTCTCAAGAATTGATACTAATCTACTTTGATCTACACCTACATAGAAAAAAAAAAGAACTTTTTAATGTGTCCTAACTCCTAAGTTCTTGAATACATTGTAAGCTTTTTAGTACCGCGTGATTGTAATAAAAAAGCTTTTTAATATTTTCTAAGTTTTTAAAATATACGTTCTATTTATGTAATGTACTAAATAAAAGGAATTTTATCAATTCAGGACCCGAAAGATAGACGAATTATCAATCCGGGACCTGAAAGATGAAATGCATCAATATAGGACCCGAATGATGAAAAACTATGAATTTAGGACCTGAATGATTGAAAACTATTACTTTAGGATCTAAGTTGTCATAAATTTTATTTTATTTTTTATTTTGATTTTTTTAAATACTATTTGGTTTTATTTAACTAATGAACTTTTGTGAAGAAAAGTTTATCAAAAGTTAGTAATAGAATTAATAAAAAATTAAATAAATCAAAACCTATGGAACATTAGGTCCTAAATTGATAGTTTTCCATCATTCGGGTCCTATACCGATATGTTTCATCTTTCGAGTCCTGAATTGATAATTAATCTATCTTTCGGGTCCTAAATTGATAAAATTCCTAAATAAAAAGAGACATGTTAATTAGTATAGAAAATATTTTTCTTGGTTGGTTTGAATTATCATGGTCCTACCACATTGTAGGAAAATGAAGTTGCCTAGTCCAAGATTGGGCTTCTTGCCTGTATTCTCCGCATTCTCCACACTACTGATGAATCCTTTATTGTTTGAAGCATGCATGTGTCTTGTGTAAAATATCAATTCTGTTAGATTTATCATTTATGCACTAATAAATATTTCATTATGTACCCCTTATTGTTAGTAGTTTAGTTGAAGTAAATGTGAAATTTAAATGAGATCATGAACCTCTTGTAGTCTTGTAGAATGACAAATGACAAGTGATGTAGAACTTCTATTTGACTATGTCAAGCTGCAAACTTTATTGTTTGCGAGAAGAGCTATTAAAGTAACTTGATTTTTTAAAAAACACACACTGATTTTGGAGAATTCTATGTATAAACATTAAACAATCAAAGTAAAAAAAACGCCATTCGAAACATCTAACTTCAAATGAAAAAAATATCCAACCTAACGGTCGTTCCCTAGGTTGGCATTACATGATATGATTTTTTTAATCATAAGAATACATACAAGACAATCTTCAGACAGAAATTACAGATCCAATCGTGAACCCTAGGAATAGACTTAGAGTCAGTCACCTCATACAAAGCAACATGACTCGCTGAACCTGAAACGGGCAAATTTAGGCTTAAAACGAATGGAACTGAAACACTGCCTATCAAAAGAACACCAAAAGTCCAAACATTCAAACCAGATCTACTCGAACTGAAACGAAAACAATTGCAACTAAAAAGAAAATAATACTGAAATAAAATCTTTCCACAAAGCATTCCCTGGTATGGAGGTGGTTCCGGAGGAGGATGAACTCTTGTATGGGTGAATACGAACTCCACCACCACCGAAATGGCTGATCAAGGCTTCACGATCCAGTCTCGATACAACCTCTCGGGCGCACTTCGTTCATCCGCCTACGCTATCTCTTTCGACGTACTTGCAATCCCAAGCGTTATAACACTTAAAATCAGTACAATCTGCCGCTCCAACCCCATATTGATAGGGGCGACGGAAAATCTCAACCCCTACGAAGAGGGGAGACGGCCACTAGGGTTTCTCTCTAGAGAGAAGAAGAGAAAAGTTCACACGATAACACAATCATCTTTACATGATGTTATGATAAATAACTTATTTATTGGATGCACAAATTAAATTATAAAATAGTTCAAAACATCAAATATTAAGAAACAGCGAACTGTCAAATAGAAATTTTCAATTCAGAACCAGAAAGATAAGTACATGATTCTATCATTTCTCTAGTCTTCTAGAATTTGTACTAATTGAAACTCCCGATGTACACTAGGGATGACAATTGTGAACGATCCGATGGATACCCGCACCGAACCGTCCCGGTCAAAATGGGGAAAACCGCATTGTTTTTATGGGAACGGGGAGGTTACAGTTTTATACATGCCCGCCCCATTACCCACCCCGTTTATTTTTGTTTATATTTTTATTACATTTCAACAATTATATGTCCCAAAACTACTAAAAGATGAGATTTTTCTCTTATCATTGTGTATATATGGATAATTGATGTACCTAACTATAGTGTATGAATGAAAGTTCATAATAGATTTTAATAGTCTTATTTGATTATTATCATATTTTTTCGTGATTAATTATTTTTCAGATTAAGTATTTTTAGGTTCAAATTAATTTAGGTTGTCTTCTTTCTCATCTTGTAGATATACGAATCTTTAAAGTGACATTAGAAGTCTAAAGTCATCTAGGTGATGCCATTTTTCGCCTTTTAAAATATTATTTTTATATTAAAATATCAATGACTCATTTAATAAAATGGTTACCCACGTTACCCGCGGTTATACCCGTTGGGGCAGTTATGGTTTTGGTAAAAATTACCTGTTCGGTAATGGGGTGGTTACGGGGTGGTTACAGGACGGGGAAATTACCCAACAGGGCGGGTACGGTTATATGTAAAATTGTCCTTGATCCGCCCATTGTCATCAGTGGCGGAGCCAGAAAAACGGCTCAGGGGGTCGAAACTCAACCTATATACAAAATGAAAATTATGGTGGATCATTTTTAAACAATGTTTGAGTTCAATATTTTATATGCAGTTTAGATAAATAGGCACTCGTAGTAATAAAATAGATTGTTTTTGCTCTGTTTTTTAGTCGTGTCACGTAAGTATTGAGTGAATTATGCTCAATTTTTAAAAATTTTGGAAAAATGATTTATAGTATGCATCAAATTTTGCTGATTTTACGTTTAAATAGTGGTGATTTTCTAGAAATCATAACTTTTTACTCGTAATGAGTTACGGGAGCCATAATATATCAAATCGAAGATATTTCAGAGCTCTATACTCTCAAACTTTCAGCGGGGTCGGCTGACCCCCTTGGCTCCGCCCCTCGTTGTCATCCCTACTACACACATTGACTTCCAGCGGGGTCGGCTGACCCCGTTGGCTCTATACTCTCAATTTTTTTTTGATTGAATTATGGATGGACTCGGGCCGGGTGGCCCGACCCGGAACCTGCCCGGGACGGGTACTGTTCCGGCCCGGCCCGACCCGGTGGCCCGGTCAGTGACCGGTCCGGGTAGGCCCGACCCGTGGGTTTTCCGGTCTGGGCTCGGGTCATCCAAAACAAGACCCGACCCGGCCGGGCCCAGGCCCGGTTCGGGCCAAAATTGATTTTTTTTTTATATTTTCGGGTTGGGCTGGATATTTTGAGCCATTTGGGGTGGTTTGGGGGGTTGGGGGTGGGAGGGGGTTAATTAGGAAGAGGGGGGAAAATTGATAATGGGCCCGGACCGGACCCGGTGGTTACCCAGGCCGGTCCCGGGTCCACCACTCCTGAACCGCCGGCCCGCCGGGGCCTACGCCCGACCCGGACCCAGCCCAGACCCGAGTCCACCCCCTAGATTGAATTATGATTGCATGCAGAAGAGTAAACCCAGGGATGTGTAGCTTTCTGGTCCCGAAAATTTGAACTAATATAAGATTTTTAAAATTAAATCAACATAATGAATCTTTTTAGAAGAATACATTCATAATACCAAAGTAACCAAACCATTGAAATTAAAGGAAATGATAGCAATTAATAAACTTCAAGCTATAAATTTTCACAAAGTGTTGCATACTATTTTTGTAATACATATTAGTAGATTACATGTTAAAATTACAAATGTCATATATAAATTAAAAAACCTAATTATTCATAACTTTCATTAAGGCATTGTTTTTATTAGTGTCAAAAAGATACATCACAAACTCGTTTCCAGTATGATTAAATTTCTAAATATTTTCATTGAAACTTGAAAGTACCATGATACAATCCCTGCCTTTAGCTACAATTTTACAGTGTTGTGCTTATATAGTTATATACATTTTTATATGCTTTTGATACGTATTTATAAATTTGCACATAAAATTACTTGTCCATTTGTTGGGCCAACTGAAGAAGCTTCTTCATAAAGGTTACATTAAATTGATACAGATTGCAGAGAATATTTCAAGACTGATTCCAAAACAAAGTTATGGTCAAAATGATTATTCAGACATCAAAAGTTAATATCTCTACATGATTTGCAGCATCTATAATTTGAAATAAAATATAAAAACTTCCTTGCTCCAAACTTTTAGCCTTCATTCTCACTATATAATAATCTACAATGTTCATTCGCCCTCACTAAAGTGTAATACTGTAATACCAAATATCTTGAACAATTTACTGAGTAATACAAGATCTGACCGCAGTAATTTTCGGTACAAAAAACATTGTGCTGCAAGTATGCAACAATTGCCAAGACCAAAGCATATTCAGTACACAGCATAGATGTTTAGTCGCATTTAATGTTCTTGTAAATCCTCCTGACAAACAAATTGGAGCCCAAGTACCCGACTGCACCTATAATTTTTAAGAAATAAACCCCGAAAAGAGATGTCACAAATATGATATATCAAAAACAAAGCAATAAAAGGGTGAAAATGACATCAGCGAATTCAGAATATGAATATATATGCACACAATAAAATTAGGAACTTACCACAGAGTATTCCCAACCCAAGGCAGAACATCAAAGTGTATCCAAAATAAAAGCTGGTTTGGAAGAAGCCCGACATCTTGGTCTTTACATGATAATAGTATATAGAGTAGAGGTACACGTAAAGAGCAGTGGAAGCAGCAGAGAAAAATGAAGTCCAGTGCCAATGATAGTTCTCGGCATTAAGCAAGAAATATGTTCCCACAATTGTCACACACACCGTGACGATGATCAAGATAATGAAAACCAGAAGCATGAAGCCATATACATAATAAACCTGTTGAAACCGCCCAAAAAACAACGTGATAATGCTGATTAATTAAGCTGGAAGTTTCAATCTTAACAGATAAATACTGTAAAAAAAAACTCCTGGAAAAGAATGTTAACGTAAAGGTGACTAATTCGCTTTGAAGTCATATTTCATGAAAGAATTTGATCATTTGAAGGGAAAAAATCTTGAAAATAGTGATACAATTATCACTAAAACAATGCAGTTATCACGACTATCGAGGATGATTTTAAAAAAACTGTGAACACTATATGTTCATTATCTGTTTTTTCATGTGCACATATTAGAAAAACTAAAAAATAATTAGTTTTCAAGTGGCCGCACACCTATGAGAACTTCAGATCATGTGTGTGTACTGAAAGAGCAAAGAAATGAAACGAGAGAGAAAATACCTTGTAATTCCAAAACGAAGTGAAGACAAAATACATCTCAATGAAAATGCTTCCAAATGGAAGAAGCCCTCCCATGAGGGAAATAATGGATGGCGTGAGATACCATTTCTTTTCAGGGATAGGACGCGGGATGGTCTTCACACGGCAAGGATTGTTAGGAGTGCCATTCCAATTTTTCCCAACAACAGTTCCAAGAAGGGCAAGGGGAAATGAAATAAATCCCCAAATGACAAAAACAACCACAATGGTACCAAAGGGAATAGCAGCTAAAGATCCATAAAATATTGCAACTGTGTTCAAAATGAACCCAATTCCAAAACACAAGAAAGGAAAAAGTGATGCTGTAAGAACCATTGACTTTATCCATGTTTTACCTGAAAAGATCCATACAAGCACGCACGAAAAAACTTGTTCAGTTTTGGTACTTAAAAACTAATAAAGGAAGAGCCAGTAACATTAAAGAACATTAAGACCATACCACCACTGCGGGAGTACATTCCACCACTCACATAACCCGAAATGAAGGATGTAAAAGCGTAACATACAATAAAGGTGGTGATAATTGCACCCCTCCTGATTTAAACATAACAATGCAGAAGATAGTATTAGACAAAGTCGCAAGCATTATAGCCCAAATAGTAAACATACTAACAGATTCAATGCTAGTACTAAGAAATGTATGTATAGATACAATACCAGTATACCACTATAAGATAAACACAATAATAGAGAGAAAATGGCAACTTTGGTCACCCATATATGAGAAATGGTATACTTCGTATTTAGTACCTAAAGTATTCGTGTCACCACTTTCAGTACTTCCATTTTCACTAAAGTTCATTTTCCCTCCCTCTTTCAATGAAAACTTAAGGTTTATGATTATTGTTGAACCTCAACCTTTAATATACATTTGTTTGTAATCAAACACTAATATGATTTATATTCCAAATCAATTATTGTTTCACAAAAAAAAATAGAATTATGAAAAACGTTATGTTTTGGCAAATAACTTAGCTTTAAACTTAATGAGTTCTTAATGATGAAAAATATTATCTACTTTGAACGGACATGAAATTTTCATCTTTCATTCGCTCTAGATTTTAGTTTTCACAAAAATTTATGGTAATGACTGCATTACAAACATGGTTAGTTGGAATAATTTGACGCATGTTCTCCCAGAAATTATAAACATGTCCCGTCTTGTGGTGAACTTTTCCATGTTTATTCCCCACATGTTCTCCCAGAAATTATTATACTATTTACGCACAGTCCCCTGCTGGTAACCATGCAGCTTTCAACGCAAGTATATCATCTTTCCTTTGTCTTAGGTTGTGTGCAAGGGGATGTGAATTGTGGCTTGTTGTTTGGGGAACAAGCAGAGTTCACCACAAGATGGGACAGACACCACCTGTTATGGGTCTTGAGCCTCAATCAGGCAGGCTACACAAGATTTTATTGACCCCCTAAAACCAAATTGAACTAAACCATAAGGGCATACAAGATCTAGAACTGATTGTAAAGATCACAATGGCATACCCAATGTATAGCATTCCAACAATTGCCAATATAATGACAAGTAGAACAAGTGCGGCAAGCTGAGCACCAGTGCCAACAACGGCAGAAAGCAGAGCCAAATTCTGTGGTGACCGAAAAACATCACCATGGACAAGTTTCCAACCAGACTCTTCATTTACATCTCTTTCCTGTGGATTTAAAGTCAATAATTAATCACAACTTATATAAATCAGATTCTCATTAAGGAAAAGAAACAGGATACGCCAAGCCAGCATGTTACATGAAAAAAGTAACTGATTGGAGTCTTACTAGTGTCTCCAAGTCGTCATCCTCACGAGCATACTTAGCATAGTCATTACGAAGAGTTCGCATTAAAATCATTGAGACCAAGCCAGTGAGGAAGATAACCATCATGAATGAATTGAATACAGAAAACCAGTGGATCTGTAAAAGAAAACTTGTTTATGAAAAAATTGGAAATAGAAACATAATAACAGCTTTCATACAACTATTTCTAAAACTTTTATTCAAAACATCTCATCTTATCAGCAATTTTATAGAAGACTATATCATCACAACTATTTCATAACTTCATAAGTTCACAGCTACAAAGCAAATAACAGCACAAACAACATTATAACAACACTATAAACTAAAAGTCAATCCTCAAATGATATGGCTTAGCATCTAAACGATGTAAGAAGTATTTAATTCAGATATTTCCAAAATATGTTTGCTCTTTGCAGCAATGGCTTTGCAGCAATGGAAATCTTCACTCATCACTCATCATTCAAGTATCCTGAAGTCTAAAAAATCCATGACTTCATGGTCTTTTCTTGCACACTAACAAAAAAGAGGAAAATTTTGTTTTTTTAACTCACTAAGGTCAGTCTCCAAGAAAACATAAGGATCACAAGTGCACAGACCATAAAGATCAACAATTTTAGCAATAAATATTTCTATGTAAATACTCTATTTGCTTTTGTAGAAAATAAGATAAATATAAGTTACTAATAACAAAACTATCACAGCAGATGTTTTCACCCCTGCACAGGATTATATCATTATACATAGTAGCCTTATACACAGACACATTAATACTCCCTCCATTCAAAAAAGACTAAAAGAGTAGTTTCAAAGCCTTTTGTCCCCCAAAAAAGAGTCATATTTCAACAAAGAACGCTGCTATTTTTCATGCAAGTTTTCAATCTTTGCCAAAAAATATTTATAAACATGTTCTGTACAAGACATTGAGTAAACCAGCAAATAAATTTTAATATACATGGACACACACACACACACACACACATATATATATATATATGATTTCATGAATCGTAAAACACATTGCAAAGATTCAAATATTTGTACATTGTACTGACCAAACATGACTCTTATTTCGGATACATACAGTGTTAGGTACCTCTTTCTCTCTCTTTGTTACAATCAATGTTGCATGTATTTAACCCCACACTGATTTTTAAAACTTTCTCCTTCCCCAAAAGGTGTCATATTTGACCAATGTAGCTTTCAAATTTCATAGGGTACAAATGTCATACATCGTGAAAAATGCTTATATATTTTGAAATTATTTTTAATTTAACTAAGTTCATCACATAACTTATCTGAGGCTGTTTCTGGTAAGTTACATGACACATTAGCTTTGTTTGATCAAGATGGAATATTTTTTAATGAAAAACTCAAAACATGGCTCGCATATTGTGATGGAGACAGAAGAAGTATTGTTTGACTTTAACTATTTATAGAAATGAAGATCTAGAATTAAATTATACCCATTCATTTGAGAAGTAAGAATGCTATGATTTCCTTTTCATCTGGTGAACTTTAGACAGCTGAACAAACATACCACAGCTGTAAATTGTAACAGCTGTAATCAGTTGCCTTTGTGTCTTTGTTTCATGAAAATTGGGAAGTTAAAAGACATAGAGACACAAAAGTCATTGAATAAGTGTATACCCTTGATATGACTATATGAGTCAGTGACTTGAATGAAGTACAATAAACATATGTCCTTTTTCACTGATAACATGTGTTTTAACTTTTAAATCAGAAACTGGTAAATAATCTTGGTTTTATTGTGGACATCTTTCTCATATCATATTTTCTTTTCTTTTAAATTTTGTGAAATACGAGGCACTGAAGCAGATATATGTGGGTTTGTCTCTAATTAATGGTGTTATTGTTGTTATTAGTAACTGTAGTTATACTATTTTTGATAATTTCATTTTCATATTCAGCTTTAGTCGCCTTCTAATTAGCCTTTCGCTTTATTTTGTGTATTATAATAAGAGCTCTTGTGATAGCTACTCCCTTTGTCCACAAGTAAACTACACGTTTTTTGGTTCACCGCATAATTATCACCAGTGTCCTATAATGAAAGTATTGTGTGGTTCCTATTATGTGATTCGGTGTTATTTCTTTCATAAATTTCAACCACACATTTTTCGTTTTCATAGCATCCATGCCTAGTCAGAATGAGTGTTATTTGGAGAAGCAGGGAGTATAAAAAGGTCTTCACTGTTGACATAAACCACCTTTTAAAAATAAAATTGTGTGTGCTTGACAGGGTTGGGAACGGGAACCCACAAAGTCTATCTTCAGCTTACTATGTTCTTCCTCTCTCATGTATCATTTCCCTATATTAAAAAGGAGATCCCAACCGCGCTCACACACAGATCATTCGAAAGATCTGAATTATGATTAACGCAGTGCGTAGTGACAAATAAAGCAAATTGTAAATTGAAAAAGGAATGAAATGATAAAGTAATAAACCTTGAAGAATTAAAAAATACCTGATGCTCAAAGAAGGGATAATCCAGGTAAACATCAAACCGATGTGCATAACTGATGTTAGTTGGAACCCACTTTACTGAGTATGTCATGTCTAGTGTTTTACCTTCTTCTAGTGGTTTAGGGCCTTCTTGAGTAAGGTTAACATGAATGACCTACAGTAAAATACTGCCATGAAGAAGGATGGATTTCAAAGTAAGCAAAAAATGGATTCTAGAACTCCTCTACCTGGTTACCATTGTACTGTATCAGAATATTCTTGTGGGTATACAGGACATGCTTAGTATCACGATTTCTATCGGGGAGCACCTCTCCAACAAATCCTGAATTTTATGTATATCATGCAATAGAATGTTACATGCACCAAACTGTAAGAAAATCAAAGTATTTTAGAGAACATAGTTTACTACATACCCCAAAGTGGTAAATCATCTGATTGCAGCATGACCATGACCAAGTCACAGGTGTAAGAAAGAAAAAAAACGATCAGTATGACAAATAAGGTTGGAGAAAGTGGCATGTCATCATTACATAAAGCAAAGCGCTTTTAAGAGATTTTCACGAGAATCGCTTCCCATCCCACACCAGACAAAAAAAAAGTATCATTGAAGGATGCTTGAGAACATACCCATGAAAAACTCAAACCAATAAGAATTGTCAATTGCATCCTTAAACTGCTTAACCTTAGCTGGATCCAATTCAAGTTCACAAATAGAACTCTTATCTACATTTTCTGCAGGAAACAAAATATTGCGTATCAGAAATGACTGCTTTAAGCCATTAAACATGATTGTGTAATAATGTTCCATTAAAGCAACAATGAGCATACTCTTATATTTTATGTCAACTTGACTATCAATAAGCTCATTCCCCCCAAGAACCTCGCCCAGGCCACCCCACTTGTGCGCAGCATTTCCAGGTGGTCGGCAAAACGGGAGGGTATAATAATTGTAGGTCTCTTGTGGATTGTTATATGGCCCAACCTTGTTTACCCACAAAGTAACAGGATCATCTTCTTGGTACTGCAACAAAGGCCAAAGAAATTATGTTTTCCAAAAGAATATTTCATGTAGTTTAGAATAAAGTCTAGCATAGAACGAAATGATTTCTTAAATAGTTAAGATGTTTTTCTAAAAGGACTTATCCCATGTCCAGCCTTTGTAAAAGAAAAATTAAACATTCTGTCCAGTGCAAGCCGAGCACAAGCATTGGAGTTTCTATGTAAAGCACAATCGCATGACTTTAGAAAGAGATGCAATAATGTTTTCCCATACAGTTAGGGGAAAAATGGTGGTATTGGATTAAGCAGTCAATCTACTACTAAGCATTCCAACCAAGATTTTAGCACCGTCACTAATAAAAAAACTAAAACAAAATATTCATGGAAGTACAACTTGAAGATGCCACAGGTAGATAAATTCATAAATTACAAAGGGTACAGGTGTCAGTTGCATATGGATTAAACTTCAATTGAATGAGGCATTTTGGTACAAAAGGATTACATATAGCGACTTCCAGTTATGACCAGGGTATAAAATTCTTAGACAGAATGCACTATGATGGCAACTACAAATGCAGATCGAGTCTGAAGGATAAAATGAGCCTAAAAGAATAAAATGACATATCTTCTTTTATCTCCAAAGAAATGTTAACACCCAATTAATGAATAAAATGAGGCCACTATATATTTCCTTCGAGGAGATGAAGAAAACTGGGACAGGAAACGGTAGATCCGCGCGCACTACTATACAATTCAAGATTGATACTATATAGAGAAGGCCTCACCGCCTCGTGTACTATACAAATCTGAAATTTCAGAACCAATACACCTTAGTGATTATCATAAAGTTCCTACGAATGAAACCCATAGTTCTTGCAGCCAGAAGAATGTATCAAGCGATCTGCATTCTGCGAATTCGAAGAAGTTTCTCGTGAAAGAAAATTCAAGACTTTACCTTGGCGAGAATGGGGACGAGGAAGATGGCGCAGAGAAGAAAAACGGATAGCGATCGGAGAGAAGTAAACATCGTCATGTGCTTGGAGGCAGTAATGGCGTTGGACGGGAAGCAGGAGCCTCCTCTTTTTCTCTCTTCCTCTTTCTGGATCTGAAGAAGGGGAGATTCTCAAAGTTCGACCCCTACCTAGCTGCGTGTTTATGCGTCATACGGTTGCATCCAAGTGCACAAAGTCTTTTACCCTCAAGTGTCTAAAGAGAAATGGGGAAAAAAAAATGAAACAGGCATGTGGGGGCAAAGTAGGGCCGGACAAAATGGTTTGGTTTGATTTGATGGTTTGGTTTGATTTGTGTTTACTTAAGCAAAGAAAAAATTATCCTAAATTGGACTAAAATATAGTTAAAATTCCACAATAGGACAATACGTTTATTATTCCCTAAATAGGACTTCCAATTACCTTTTTACCCTTCATCTAATAAAACCCCAAATGACTATCGGCTCCAACGCAGACCAACAACGATCAGATCCGCTCAGACCATCTGCGATGAACACGATTTGGAATGAAGACACCCAGACCATCTGCGATGAAGATCAACAGCGATTTGCGATGAAGACGCCCAGGCTGCTCGCCTTCTTCTCTGGTGACATCCATGTGATCTTCTTCCTCTTCTTCTCCATCTTCTTCTTCTTCCTCTTTGAATCTAGGTCCTTTGTTTTCTTCTTCTTTAATTATTTATTTATTTTATTAATTTTGATTAATTTGGAACCTCAAAATGCCATAAATTACAAGCAATTAGAAACATACATTACATTTATCAGGATGACAGTATGAGTGTATGACATGCAACTGACATTGTTACTCAAAAATTGACACTTTAAATATGTCATTTTTGTTTCGAAAATGTCATGAGAATGACATTATTACTCTTTCGAAAATGGCATAAGATGTCATTCTCTTTTTTGAACTGTCATCTTGGCAAATGTATGTCATAAAAGTGACATTATTACAAAACAGTGTTGGATTAAACATCAATTATGACATTTTTCAGAATGAAGTGTTAAGAACACTAATATGAATCTTTTAAAAATAATTTAATCAGATTAATAAAAAATGGAAATCCAAAAGAAGAAGAAAATAGAAAATTTGTAGAAGAAGAAAACAGGGAGTTTGAGAAGAAGTCAATAGAGGAGCAGAAGAAAAATATGAAGAAGAGGGAACTTACCTGAGCATATAGCAGAGGTGCGTCGCCAGTGACATTTATTGCAAGAGTCGTATGTTGCACTAATCAAGGCTATTTTGTCCAAATACATATAATTAGTCCTATTTAGGAAATTTAAAACAACATGTCTTGTTTTTGCAATTCCACTATCTTTTAGTCTTATTTAGGGAATTCTCTCTTAAGCAAATCGTTTGGTAGCAATTTGTTCAATTTGAATGATTTGATTTGGTTTGGTTCAAAACCAAAAAACCGTTAAACGAATGCCGAACAACTTGTAATGTGTGTGTGTGTGTGTATTATTTTTCTCCACTCTTCATCATTAGAATATAATAAATCATTTAGACATGAAAAATATAAATTTAGCATATACTCGTATCATTTTAACTTTTACACATTTCATACATTCATTAATTATGACAAAGTTAGCTAATACGACATATTTGTATTTCTTATGTTTTGTACTCTACCTATATGAAAAGATATTTGGCGATAAAAATAACAAATTGCATTTATATTTTTTACATGATTCATTTGAATAAAATTTTGAATATTACAGCATTTGCACCAGTGCCTCATTTAGTTTTCTTTGAATATTTTATGTGATATTATAAATGTTAATCATATATAATTTTAATTTTCTGAGAAGTGAATCTTTTTCTAGGGAATTAAAAGATGTTAGAAGTTTTAATTTACACGTAGTAATATTTTATTAATTCTTTTTCTATCTTTTATTTCCTTTTACTTTTCATTTAAATGATAAATAAAAGAAGATGATATGGACTACTACTTTCATTTTCTAATAATAAAATATAGAACTTGATCAAATAAAATAATAAATATAAGAAACCGAATCAAATCAAACTAAGTTGAACATAATAATCTTCACTTTTGTAAAACGAACTTCAAACCGAACCGAATCGAAACCAAACCGAAACACAAATGGTTTTAGTTTGGTACAAATTCTAACAAACCGAATAAACCGAAACCGTAGAAAACCGAATCGTAAACCGAATTGTCCACCCCTATGGCAAAGGGTAAATGTGATGCCAACTTTGGAGACATTCGCCAATAATGATTTGACGTAACCCGACCGATATTGTTCAGTCAATTAAAAATGAAATATCATATGCAATAATAATTTGAGCTATCATTTGTTTTTACTCAGAATTAAAATTTCCATAAATAAATAAAAAGGGTATAAAATATTATAAAAATTTATTTTAATTAATTGACTTTTTAAGTAGTATGTGGAATGAAAAATATAAAATATATAATTATTGAATATGGTAAAAATTCTATAAATTTTGAAATTAAAATTTCATAACATGTATGGTATTATAAATACATAACGAATATAAAATATATAAAGAAGGAGAGTAAAAAGGTCGATACAAAGTCTTAAAAGAAAAATGAAATTCAAATTAAGTACAAATTCAAATTTAAAAAAGAAAATCTCGATTTTCAAAATTAAGAAAGAGAAAAAGATAAAAATACTTATACTTTTTTCAGAATATTAAAAAAAATAAGCTAATCATCCAAAATTATTAAATCATTTTGAATTAGTTAAAAATCAATAAAAATCATGTATTTGTAAAAGAATCCAAAAAGATTATTTATCAAAACTTTAAATTTTTTAAAGTAATAAAATAAAATAAAATGTAACATTTTTAATTTATAAAACACAATACGTTTTTATATTTAGACAAACTTTCATTTATAAAATTCAAAATTTGAAATCTAAATAAAGTTTTCAACTTTTTGTAAAACAAATTGAGTTCATGGTTGGGATTAGTAAAAGAAGAACGAGCATAGTTCAGATTATTTATAGAATATGCTTAGTTTTTATTTAAAATTGACATGTTATAGCAAGTAATACCTGACCATGGACCATTATTGGCGGACGATCCTATAGTTAGGATTATAGAAAATTAATCAATAGATGAGATTATTGCTAGCGGACCGGCAATGATTGAGATTATTATAATCAACTTTTTCTATTTATTAATCATAAAAATGATGAGTGCAAAAGTAATTCAGATAGCATAAGTCTACAATGGATGAGATATAGAACTGGAAAGTTTCAAAAGAATATAATAATTTGTTAATCTCGTAAAAATGTAGACTCCTCTATCAATTTAGTGTAGTGTTCTCATTAATAAAACTTATTTTTGTTTATTCTTTTAAATTTATTATATATAATATTTGTGCTCAAATATGCAATCATCCTCGATTGAGATGAGATGTGACTTTAATATTTGACACTCTCTTTGGAAAATCAACAATGATTTCATTAGATCCAAAAGACTTAACAAATACATTTGATTCTTGAGAGATTTATCTAAATAACATCAAAACATATGAAAAATGTCAACGCAGTAGTGTAGGACTAAAATAAGGACTACCACCGAAATTGAAGCCGGTAAATTTCCTATGTAATAATGAATGTTATTTCCTATGTAAATTTCTTCTTCTTATCAATCTCATTTGTTTTCTTTCTTCCACCATTCATCTGTTTTCTTCTATTTTGGATTTTCCTTTTTATAAACGCCGGTTAATTTATTTTAAAATGTTCGTATTATTTTCCTCACCATTGGAACATGAAAATGCCATATTACTGTGTTACTGAATACTAGTTCTATGAAAATGCCATTGTCATGGCATTACAATTCTCAAGATAGATGTTTTACTTTATGATGACACCATGAATCAAAACCATGATCCAAGATTAAATTAGAACAAAGTCCATCAATTGGGATAGATAATAAATAATAGCCGTTGGGCCTAATTAGGAATCCGACCCGCGAAAGGAACCCACAACCAGGCAAGGCTGGACAGTAGACATTGAGCATGGGCAGAGTTCTAGCGAGATCAGACTCTTTCTAGAGCTTATGTGGTAGGCTATCATTCGTGCATAGCTACCTGGCAGCGGCAGGGAATAACGGAAAGAACGTGGAACTGAAAGAAACAATGATTACACAACGTTCGAGGCGTTACGAGACTCTATTATAATTAATTGCATCAAATGTATCAATTTCCTCCTCGAATACTAGAACCTAAGGTCTATAAATACTTCATGTACACATCCTACCAAGGATCCGAATTCTGAAATAATAATATTGCTTTACGCTGCCTAAATTTCATTTGCTCTCGTAGGTTAAGCTCTCGTAGTTGGATTAAACTCCATCATTTGTTGCTCTCGTTGAGAGAACGATTTATGATGACGATGGTTGGATCACACAGTCACAACCGTGTTGGCAGCAATCAAGGTGGTCCTCGAATGGATCAAGTCGTGATTGAAGATGAAGGGTCACAGTCACGACGTAGTGATTTCCAGAGGAGAAACAACAACGTGGTAACTCAAGGCAACTTGAGAAACCACCTGCAAGGCGCTGGAAGTTCTAGGCGTCCTACAACATGCCCGCCAGAGTTCCAGACATCGGCCACCGAGAATCTCATCATCAACGTGGATCCTGCACAGGCATTGGCCAATTTGGCGACGTTCCAGAAGGTTGTGGAGACCTTAACCACTTCCTTCCAAGGAATTCCTAGTACCAACGAAAGAACTCATTCCCCACACCGGGTTCCATATGTGCCTTGATGGGAGAAGGAAGTGTCTCTGCAGCGACAAAGGAATTCACATCCGGTAAGGTTTCAACGGTCTCATCATTCTAGACAGATCTTGAGGGCTTCGATGATGGACCAGATTGGAGGACAGAGGGTCTCCGTGCATGATAGGCTCTCCTTCAGGGCGGAACAAAGTGATGAGTCTTCGTCCGCAACCATTTCCTCCAACTGTCACAGTGCACGTGGGGGAGATCTCAAAGACGAGATCAACGAACATCGGCGAGCCCACAGAGATCGCACTTCCCCACCTCGCATCCAGGTCGGCCATGACAACGACGACCTCAGAAGGCGACTTGACGAGTTTAGAAGGGCGATGGATGGTAGGATAAACCTAAATCATGATGTGAGGATTCCTGAGTCGTTCATCCTTCACATCATGGATGCCCCACTGTCGTAGGGGTATAAGCCTTGCAACATTG